ACCAAATATCAACAACTGTAGTATCTTGAAAGTTAGGTGGTATGTGGAGCCAGAAACCATATTAGTGGCTTGGCATATTTTGCTACATTAAAATCCATTGGTCTATCTTGTACTTTTAATGAATCTTCCATATCATCATGCATTAGTCTATGCATGCTTTACTCATGCATGCTTTAGTGGCAGCATGGACTGGTCATTTGGAATATGTTTGGTCACCAAATCATGAAAATCTTGAATGTACACTCACTAAATAGTATGTTTTTTTTTTTTATATAAGTTGTGGGTTAATAGCTCCATCAAACTCATCAGGAAAATCAGCACATAAACTTTTTAAGTTCATTTAAAATTTAAAGCTTATAAAACTTTCCGAAATTTTCAATTTTTATTTGAAAAAGCCAACTTTTATCATTGGGAACAAACAAATATTGTCAGTTGTTTTCCTTAATGGACAAGATTGTGTCATTTATTTGTGAGAAAATGCCTGCCAAATATTCAAGTTTGAATGACTATAGTTCATCTGTCACTGCCATCTAAAAATTGTGTTCCACAAGAAAAAACTCTAGTTCAATATACAATTCACAAGTCCTTTCTCCTGTGACAAGCATCAACTTTGTTGTATAGCATAGGTATATTACTACAAGTGTTCTCTATTCTGTCAAGAAAAGTATTGGTAGTATATTCAAGGATCAAAATTCAACAAAATTAATAAATTTACTGCTTAGTTGAAGGCATTCTTTTTCAATGTATTTTTACTAATTATTTGAAGATTTTATACATGTGTGCAATGTATTTTGATCATTTTAATCTCTACTCTTCTCCCTTACTCCTCTCTGGGATAGCTCTGTGGGGTATCCGTAACCCACAGACTCTTACAACTTCATGCCCTCTTCTTTTAAAGTAAATTTTTGGGTCCAATTAGTGTTTTCCATATAAGTATGGGTACAGGACAATGCACTGCCCTACCAGAGACACCCACCTAAAAAAAACTGACCCCTGCTGCTGTGAAGCCATCATCTGTCAAGAATTCCTCAACTAGGGTTGGGCCTCATGAGCCCCTCCTCTCTCCATGCTGGAATGATGACTGGCTTGATTTGGTGCCAGTCTTGTGCAGATAACCACAGATGCTGTTAGTTCATGAGTGTAGTGGTTCTGTCATGTCTAGGAGCCTCAATTATTGCCTAGTCCAAGAAGACCATGAATTATACTTTGAAAACTGCTAACATAAACATGTTTTGAAGAAAAGAGTATTGGAGACAGAGCTATCAGGAAATGGCTAAAAATAATACTTGGGAGAAATGGTGAGGATTGAACTAACGAAACCCTAATGTATATAGGGTGACAGGTATTGATACAAAAATGATTAAAATATAAAGATTAAAATAATCAATTGGTTCTTCTGTTCTATTTTCAGACACTCCCTCTAAAACTACCATTTCTCTGCAGGATTGTTAATACAAATTCTCCCTCCACTAATATTTTGTTCTTTCTTGTGTCACTGCCACCTCTAGCTCCTTTCAAATTGTTCTCCTTCTGTAAATAACATAAATTACTCTTGTCAAGTTCATCAAGCACCTTGGTGACATTAAATCCATTGGTATTTCCAGTGATGTTTCTGTTTATCCTTTCTGCCACATCTAACCCAATAATCACTTTTTCCCTTGTAATTCTTCCCATGATGATATTTCAGTTTTCTTCTGGCTTTTTCATTATTTTGCAGTGGGTAGCTGATCCAGCTTTGACCTGGAAGTACTACCCCCATTGAGGCTTCTGGTAACTGTCATGCCTACCTATGGCCTGCCCCTGAGGCAGGGCCGAGATGGGAGCCCTTAAGATCCAAGATCCAAATGTGCCAGCTCTCTTGGTTCCTGGTAATCCTGGATGTTGGATGGTAGACCAAGCAGAGTTCTCCAGAGAACACCGCTGGACTGCACTTCACCTCTCCCAGATCCTGTAACCTATCCTTTTACTTGTTGTAAGTAAAACCCCCAAATAAATCTCCCTTTTAACTACATGGAGTTGCCTTAATACTTAAACCAATAATTTTTCTTAGTTTTGTTTTTTGATTTTTTTTCCCTTCTAACTTCCAAAATTCTGTACTTTCTTCCTGGACTTTGTACAAACTCCAGACAGCATCTCTGTGTTCTCTCTCTGTCTCTGTCTCTGTCTCTTTCTCCCTCTCCTTTCCCTCCCTCCCTCCTTCCTTTTCCCCCTTCTTCCTTTTCTCCCTCCTCCTAATCTCCTCTCATCTGTATCTTTATCTGAGTTCCATATCTACTAACACAATCACTCAATTGACATGTCTTCCATTGTTTCTCTAACCCCTCAAATTCAGTGTATTCAAAACTGAACTCTTGTTCCTTTCTTCACAGTCCAAATCTTCTCTTCTTTTGTTTCCATCTCAATAAATGGTAGTTTCTGTCATCTAATGGTTCATATCAAGATTCTTGTGCATGGGGCTGAAGAGATGGCTCAGCAGTTAAGATCACTTCCTAATCTTTTGGAGGATCCTAGTTAAGTTTTCATTACCCACATCAGATGGCTTACAACTATCCAACTCTGGGGATCCAGTGGCTTTTTCTGGCCTCCATGGACACTTTCACACATGTTGTATACATTCATACACAATACAGCACACACACACACACACACACACACACACACACACACACACACACACACACACGGAGGGGAGGAGAATATGAATCCCTGGGTATCATTTGTATCTCTCTCTTTCAGTTACCATTCTTAGTCACCAAATCTTGCCAATTCCATTTGCAAAACATAACTAGAATTTGTGTACTTGATCCCTCTCCATTGTCATCTATTAATCCAATTCCCTCCTTACTACATAGTCCAAATTGGCCTTAAAGGTATAATCCTCATGAATTACCCTCTTAAGTGCTGAGTTTATAGAGGTATACCACCAAGCCCAGCCCAGTTTTAAACCATCATCATTTCTTACCTGGACTCATTTAATGGCCTCCTATCTCTTCATATCCACTCATCTCATCTTGGAAGGAATTCATGAGATGACAGAAAGAGGGATTTTTGATATCCTGTAAACCATACCATGCTGCCTCCTTGCTTAAAGCTTCTAAGAGATTTTCATTGTACTTGAGATCCCAGGTTCTTATTATACTTTGCAAAGTCCTGTCTTCTTTCTAAATATCACTTCACCAATCTAATCTGACAATATTATTTCCCTCATGCTCACATTCTTCCAGCTACATTAGCCTTCCTCCTTGCCATCAAACAGCTATTCTCTTCTTTATCTCTAGACATTGCATACACTGTCTGGTTTGGATCTTGCTCCTACCTCTGTTTCTTTGTATTAATTCCTTCTTATTTTTTATTCCCAAGTTATATATTAATTGTTCAGAAAATCTATTCTTGAGGCCCCAAATAAACCAGGTGATTTCTTTGCTGTGAAAAATTATCCCACTCTCTATTTAATAATACTTACCATGATCTATAATCTATAATTGTGCTTTCCTTCTTTTCTTTAAGATACAAGACACAATGCAGAAGGATTTGATGTCCTTGCTGGATTGCCTTTCTATGGTCTCATCTTTTATAATCATATTTCTCATCTCTTCACTTTGGATTAGGAATGTTTACTTTGTGCTGTTGTATATTATGACTTAGTAACTTGTTTAGTTTTTGTTGCTTAAAGTTAAGAGGTTGCTTTGGCTCTCAGAAGGGGATATTAGAGTTGTTTTCAAGCAGTGTTGAAAATGTTAAGACTATGGAGCCTTTTGAAGTTGGAATTAATAAATTTTTCATTATGACATGACCTTGAGTCTATGTGGGAGAGGAATGAAATGTCAAGATTTAAAAGTGATGTAAGTTGTATTTAATCATAACCACTGTATACATTTCCAAATTAAATATGTCTATAACTCCATAAAGTATAATTTACAATGATAAACACAAATAAAATGAATCAAAAAATAAAAAACAAAAGCAAAACCAAAAACAAATAAATGAAAGTGATGCATTTCGGTGTCAAGTTGGAAAGAGATTTGTTGTAATTGTCCATTTTTATTGTCATGTGATAGGATTTACAATCAGCCAGGGGATCCCATTTGTCAGCTTTGGGGATTATTTCATGTCCTACTGGAGTGGTTGTACACAAGTCTATGATTATGCTTAAATCATGAAATGTTTTCCTAATGTTCTGTAAGAGTATCAGAATTTTAGGCTTTACATTAAGGCCTTTGATCCATTTGAAGTTAATCTAGGTGCAGGATGATAGATACTGAGTAAATTTTATCTTCTATAGGTTGATATCTAGTTTTTCCAGTGTTGTTTCTTAAGGAGGCTTTCTATTCTCTAAAGTTTATTGTTTGCATCTTTGTAAAAATCAGATCGCTGTAGCTATGTGGGTTTATTTCTGGGTCCTCCATTTTATTCCAGTGGCCTCTATGTATCTGATTTTGTCACTATAGGTCCACACTATGTCTTAAAATCAGATAATGTGGTATCTAAAAAATGTGTTAATTTTGTTCAGAATTTGCTTTGGTTATTTGGGAGTATTTCCAGGTTCTATACAGATTTTATGGGTTTTTTCCTAGTTTGTGAAGAAAGTTATTGGAATTTTCATGGGTATTACATTGAAACTCTGAATTGTTTTTTGTAATATAGCCATTTTTACCTATTAATTTCTTCACTCTGTGATCTTGGGAGGTTTTTTCATCTTGTACTGTCTTTCTTTAATCTTTTTTCAGTGCTTTGAAATTTTCATAGTTCATTTATTTTGTATCTTTGGTTATGTGTATTCATTGTAGATATTGTTGAATCTATTGTGTATGGGATTATTTCTTTTTTTTCATTGTGAAAAAGTCTTTATTTTAAGAAAAAAATTAGTTAACAAAAAATTTAACAAGTTCCACTTAGCAAAATACACCCAAAAGGAAATCGCAGTACAAAGAAAGCTTTAAGTCAAGGCCTCACCAATGCCTGCAGTATTAGCATTGTGTCTCAATTCTCAAAATTAACTTTTAAAAAACTTAAACTTAACTTAAAGATTTAAATGAAAATATAAACTAGAACGAACATGAGAAATGCTTCCCTTTGCATCAGGGATCTAGCACCTTTGAGTTCTCCAGAAAAGTACATGTCCCCAGTGTGTTCACTGTGGTGTGCTTTAAGATCCACTCAGCATACTTAAAACTACTCAACTCAGATACCATCACTCCTGAAGTATACTACCAAAAATGTTAATTGAGAAAAGCAGAAGAAAATAGTTTTAGTTTACTCAATATTACATGCTAGAAGAAAAGTTTGCAAGAGAAACACTGAAGAGGTAATTTTTTAATGCAGATTTCACAAACTCATGGTACAATGTGGGTCTCCCAGCTTCCTCTAGAGTTATAAACTGCTCTTAACTGCTTATTGGCTGCCTGTGAAATTTTGATCGAAATAACTCAAATGCTTCTACAATACTAGTCAAATCCACCCATGCTATTCTGACCACTGTAGCCGGCCCCATAACAGTCACTCATTGACTGGCTCTCCGGGCCACTGTAAGTCTCCTGGGCAGCTGACACTCCCATGCCCTGCATCACCTGGCTGCTATAAGCACCGTAGCTAGCCCCTGTTGTTGAATTTAGGAAGAGTTCTATGTATCTGTGCTGCATGTTGGCCCTGTCCTTCGACATAGCTGCCACTGCTTCTTCATGGGTGGCAAACTCAACATCAGCTTCTCCTGTCATTCTTCCATCAGGACCAATCTCAATATGAACTCTCACGGGGTTGAGTGGAGAGAAGAAGTTGTAAATGTCATTCTCCGTTGCTTTGTAGGGCAGCCCTCTCATGTGGACGCAGTGGCCGGTGGTGCTCTGCACTGTGAACTCGTTGTCTTCGTATCTGTGGTCATACATTCCTGAGAGACAGTAGCTGAACTCTCTCCCAAACAGGTCAGTGGTGAAGCCATAGCCATCACTGAGGCCACTGTATTCTTCATAGCCCCCATAGCCTGCACTATAGGCACCAGATCTCATCCTATCCAAGCCTGCCTGTTTCACAATGCCAGTGTACCTCTGGGCTGTGCCAGGCCGGTCATAGGGCCCAGGTCTCTGCACAGACATGAACTTCAGAGGTGGATCTGAGTATGACCTAACTTCCTCCTGGCTGCTCTTGAACACTTCGATATACCTGTGTCCTATTCTCTCCTTGTGCTTCCCCAGAGCTTTCTCAGCTAACTCTTGTGAGGCAAACTGAACGAAGGCCTCCCCTGTAATCTTGCCCTCCGGGTCCACAGGTAATGTGATCCCATTTGGCACAATTTCCAACCCTGAGAAGAACTGAACAATTTCTTCCTTTGTGCATCCAAACGGGAGTCCCCGAAGCCTCACAAAGCCGTCATTGGCACTGTCGTCGCTGTTTGGACCACTGTGCTTCAACACCCAATCCATCTCGATTCTGTGTGACTTGAACACCTCAATATATCGGTGTCCAATGCTTTCCCTGTCTTTTTTCAGAGCCAATTTTACATCATCTTCTGACTCAAGTTCAACAAAAGCTTCACCACTCTGCCTGCCTTCTCTAGTATAAATGAAATGAATTCCTGCGACCCCATCATGAATTGTGCAGTTGGAGAGAAAGTTTTGTATGTCCTCAATTGAGCAAGACCAGGGTAGGCCACGGAGTTTGACCACATAGCCTTCACCTCCGTCAGGGCCCAGCATCATGGACACTTGACAAGGCTGATGTCACACAAACTTGGGCGATTTTTTTGTAGCTTAAAGAACCACCACAGGTGCCTTCTGTAGGAAACACTTATGGAAGGTACAAGTTTTCCACGGAGGCAGAAGTGACTTCTACTTTCAATAAGCAAGAACCACAACTCCACTTGACGCTTCAAAAACGCAGAGAGCTCCAGGGGAAGTCCAGGTGCATCTTCTCTTTGTTCTCAACCTCGGGCTTATTGTCCCCATGCTCCTACTCACATCGGGAACCTCTGCCGACCCTCAGAGCACCTAGAGGAGGGTGGAACCCCGGGACTTGGCAGTTGTAGCTGAGACAGTTGAGGCTTGTTTACTATTACCATGGAAACCCTCAGGAATTCTTGGTGGGGCCTCAGGGGGTGAGTCAGCTGCTCTGCCTGGGGAGCACCCACTGTGCTTCCCATGGGATTATTTCTTTCTCAGCATGTTCATTATTGGTATATAGTAAAACTAATCATTTTTCTATGCTAATTTTGAATCCTGCTACTTCTCAGGAAATGTGTTATTCAGTTATCAGTTTTCTGATAGAAGCTTTAGAGTTTCTTACATATAAAATCACATCATCTACAAATAAGGATAATATGACTTCTTCCTTTCCTATTTGCGTTAATTTTATTATATTTTCTTGTCTTGCTTATGCTAAAATTTCAAGGTCTGTGTTGAGCAAGATTATAGAAAGTAGACACCCTTGTCTCAAGCCTACTTTTTTGAAATGCTTTGTGTTTTTCTCCATTGATGTAATATTAGCTACAGTTTTATCATATATAGCCTTTATTATTTTAAAGTGGAGATCTTCTATTTCATTTTTTTGGTTAGCAGATGCTTTTGTCACAAAAGGATGGCAGACAGTATAATGATCTTGTGACTTCTGTCCTTGAGTCTATTCTTAAGTTATATTTCATGTATTGGTTTATATAAGTCTAACCATCCTTGCATCCCTAAATGAAGCCCACTTGGTTTATTTTGAATGCAGTTTGCAAGTAGTTTATTGAAAGATTTTCCATTCATGTTTATTGTGGAGCTAAGCTTATAATTTTTGTGTGTTTCTGTTCAATTTTAGCACCAGGATAATACTGACTTTATAAAATGAGTTAGTGTTTCTTTCCTTTCTATTTATGAAATTGTTTATGGGAAACATCGTTGTTAGTTTCTCATTAGACGTTTGGTAGGATTTACCTGTGAATCCCTCAGGGTCTGGGCATTTTTTAAATAAAGAGACCCTTTATTAATGTTTAAATTTCATTGTCTCTTATAGTCCTGTTTATGTTGCTTATATATTTTTGGTTTAATATGAGTAGATCATATGTGTGTAGGAGTTAATTCATGTATTCTAGATTTTCCAATGTATTTGAATATCAGTTTTTAAAGTACGTCTTCAAAATACCCTGTAAACATCATTGGCATGTGTTGTAATATCTTTCTTTTCACTTATAATTTTATTGATTTGGAGTTATTTCTCTTCTGGTTAGTTTGACAAGGAGTGAATGATGTTTATCTTTTCTATTTACTACCTATTTATTTCAGTGATTCTTTTTCAGTTTTTGAGGTTATGGTTTAATTACAAAATTTCTTCCTTCTCTACCTCCAATATACTCCTCCCCACTCTCTTTCAAATCATGACCTCTTTTTTCACTAATCGTTATTGCATGCATATAAGTATACATATATACATACTCACACATTCCAAAATATTGCCTCCTCAGTCTATATAATGCAACTTGTATGTATGTTTTCAGGACTGACTATTTGGCCAATTTTTTTACAATTCTTTTTGTTTCTATTGTATTGACTTTTCCCTGAGCTAATAATTCTTTCCATTTACTGATAGTAGATTTGGCTTGTTTTTTCCCCCTAGCTCCTTGAGGTAATTAAATTCTTTAGTTAAGAGTTCTCTGATTCTTTTTTTTCCCAATTTATTCTTCTTTTATAGGAAATAGATTCTTTTTTAATACAATATATCCTTGATTATAGTTTCCCCTCCTTCTGCTCCTCCCAGTTACTCCCCTCCCCCTCCTCCTCTCTGGATCTACTTCGTTTCTGTCTTTCACTGGAAAATAACAGGCTTCTAAGAGATAACAACCAAATAGGACAAAATAAAATATAATAATATAAGGCAAAAAATCACTATATTGAAGTTGGGCAAGGCAGCCTAACAGAAGGAAAGGAGTTCCAAGAGTAGGCACAAGAATTAGAGACCCACTTGTTCTCACAGTCAGGAGTCCCATAAAAATGCTAAGTTAAAAGCTATAATATATCTGTAGAGTACCTGGTATAGAACCATGTAGGTCCTGTGCTTGCTGCTTCCATCTCTGTAAGTACACATAAGCCTTGCTTAGTTGATTCAGAGGCTTTATTCTCTGGTGTTCTCCATCCTCTCCGGCTCTTATACTCTTTCTGTCTCCTCTTCCATGGAGTTCCTTGAGTTCTGAGTGGAGAGATTTGTTGGAGACATTCCATTTAGATTTTTTCTGTATATAATGTATGGCTGCAGGTCTCTGCATCTGTTCCTACCTTCTGCTTGAGGAAGCTTCTCTGATGATGACTGGATAAGGCACTGAGCTATGAGTATAGCAGAATATCACAGAGAGTCATTTTATTGACACTTTTGTTTTTAGACCAGTAGTGTATGGTTTTACCCTAAGTCTCTGGACTATCTAGTCCCTGGTTCTTGGTTACCCAAGCAGTGTCAGGAATGGGTTCCATCTAGTGGATTGTACCTTAAGTAAAATAAGACATCCCACAAGTTCTATGCCCTCATTGCCCTAGCATATTTTTCAAGCATCACAGATTGTAGGTCTAAGGTTTTGTGGCTGTGTTGGTGTTTACCTTTCTCTTTTGGTAGCCTACAGAATACCTTTCCTCACAAAAGAGACTAGAATATAGGGGTGAAGGCTCCATGTAGGCACCAGCTTGATTTCTCCATGTTCAATGAGTTATGTGGGTGTTCTTGGCAATGGAAGGCTTGCTGTCAGTTTACAGAGAGCAATCTATTGTCTTAGCAAGAGCCTGGGTTATTTTGTGATTTCTGTGGGACCCCCTTGGCTAACAACTCAACTGAATGCAACCCAGTTCCACTATTGGAAGCCTCATTTAGTGACAAGAGATGGCTAGTTGAGACTTCATATTCCCATTGTTATGAGACCTCATTAGGATCACCTTCATATATTTTAGGAAGTTTTCACTGCACTAGGCTCTCATATCATCCTTCCAGTGCCCCTCACTTCCAGGTGTCTCTTCCTTCTTTATCTCCCTCTACCCTATGTCCCTTACACCTTCTCACCTGATCCTCCCATTTGTGTCCCCATCCACCACCAGTCCATTTGTAAAATCTATTCTATGTCCCCTTGCCAGGGAGATCCAGGTATCCCCTCTAGACACTTCCTCTATACCTAACCTCTTTGGGTTTGTATATTTTAGCTTGGTTATCATTTACTTAATGGCTAATATCCACATATAAATGAATGCATATTATATTTATCTTTCTGGATCTGGGTTACCTCACTCAGGATGATATTTTGTAGTTCCATCCATTTGCCTGCAAATTTCATGATGTTATTTTTTAAAACAGCTGAGTAATACTTCACTGTGTAAATATACCACGTTTTCTTTATTGATTCTTCAGTTGAGGGGTATCTAGGTTATTTCCAGTTTCTAGCTATTATGAATAAAGCAGCAATGAACACGGTTGAGCAAGTGTCCTTGTTGTAGGATGGAACATCCTTTGTGTACATGCAGAAGAGTGGTATAGCTAGGTCTTGTGGTAGATCAATCCCAACTTTCTGAGTAACTGCCATATTGATTTACATAATGGCTGTACAAGTTTGCACTCCTACCAGCAATGGAGAAGTGTTTCTCTTGTTCCATATCCTTGCCAGCATGAGCTGTCACTTGTGTTTTTGATGTTACCATTTTGACAGATATAAAATGGAATTTCAAAGTAGTTTTGATTTCATTTCCCCAATGGCTAAGGATGTTGAATATTTCTCTAAAGTGTTTCTCAGCCATTTGAGTTTCCTCTATTGAGAATTACGTTTAGATCTGTACTCCACTTTTTAATTGAATTCTTTGTTTTTTTTTTTTTCAAAAAATCTAGTTTCTTGAGTTCTTTATATATTTTGGATATTAGCCCTCTGTCAGATGTGGGGTTGGTGAAAATATTTTTTCATTCTGTAGGCTGCTGTTTTTTCCTGTTGAAGCCGCCCTTTACCTTACAGAAGCTTTTCATTTTCATGAGGTTCTGTTTATTAATTTTTAATCTCAGTGCCTGCACTATCAGTATTCTGTTCAGAACGTCTTCGCCTGTGCCAACACATTCAAAGCTGTTCCCCACTTTCTCTTCTATCAGGTCCAATATATCTGGTTTTATGTTGAGGCCTTTGATGCACTTGGACTTGAGTTTTGTGCAGGGTGATAAGGATGGATCTATTTGTATTTTTTTTACATGCAGCCATCCAGTTAGACCAGCACCATTTATTGAAGATGCTTTCCTTTTTACATTGTATAATTTTGATTTCTTTGCTGAAAATCAGGTGTGCAAGGGTGTGTGGATTTATGGCTGGGCCTTCAGCTCGATTCCATTGATCAACATGTGTATTTTTATGCTAAGACCGTACATTTTTTATTACTATAGCTTTTTAGTACAACTTGAAATCAGGAACAGTGATACCTCCAGCAGTTCTTTTGTTGTTCAGGATTGTTTTAGCTATCTAGAATTTTTTGTTTTCCATATGAAGTTAAACAGTGTCCCTTCAAGGTCTGTAAAGAATTGTGTTGGAATTTTGATGGGGATTGCATTGAATCTGTAGATTGCTTTTGTTCCGATGGCCATTTTCACAATATTAATACTAATAATCCATAAGGATAGGAGATATTTCCAACTTCTGATATCTTCTTCAATTTCTTTCTTCAAAAGCTTGATGATTTTATCATACAGGTCTTTCACTTGCTTGTTTAGAACTACCCAGAGATATTTTATATTATTTGAGGCTACTGTGAAAAGTATTGTTTCCCTGATTTCTTTCTCATTCATTTGTCATTTGCATGTAGGAGGGCTACTGCTTTTTTTGTGTGAATTAACTTTTTTATACAGCCACATTGCTGAAAGTGTTTATCAGCTATGGTAGTTTCATGGTGGAATGTTAAGGGTCTTATTCCTGATTTTGGTGGAATTGCTTTGAGTTTTTTTCCATTTAATTTGATGTTGCCTGCTGACTTGCTGTAAACTGCCCTTATTATGTTTAGGTATGTTCCTTTTATCTCCTAATCTCCCCAGGACATTTATCATGAAGGGCTACTGGACTTTGTCAAAGAACTTTTCTGTATCTAATGAGATTATCATTTGGTTGTTTTCTTTCAGTTTGTTTATATTGTGGGTTACATTTACTGATTTTTGTATAGTGAACCATCCTGGAATCTCTAGGATGAAGCCTAGTTGATCATGATGGATAATCTTTTCGATTTGTTCTTGGACTCAGTTTGCATGTTTTTTATTGAGCATTTTTGCATCTATGTTCATAATGGAAACTGGTCTGGAATTCTCTTTTTTTGTTGCACCTTTATGTGATTTTGGGATCAGGGTAACTGTGGGCCTCATAAAATAAATTGGCAGTGTTTCTTCTGTTTCTATTTTGTGAAATAATTTGAGGAGTACTGGCATTAACTCTTCTTTGAATGTTGGTTAGAATTCTGTGCTAAAACCATCTGGCCCTGGGTTTTTTTGGATGGAAGACTTTTAATGACTGCTTCTATTTACTAGGGGTTATAGGTCTAAAGTAAATTGCTTATATGCTCTGGATTTAACTTTGGTAAATGGTACATATTGAGAAGATAGCCATTTCTTTTAGATTTTCTAATTTGGTGGAGTACAGGTTTTTAAAGTATGTCTGTATGATTCTCTGGATGTCCTCAGTGTCTGTTGTTATGTCTCCCTTTTTGTTTTTGTTTTGTTTTGTTGATTTGAATATTATCTCTCCATCCTTTAGTTAGCTTGGATAAAGTTTTGTCTATCTTGTTGATAATATCAAAGAACCAACTCTTTGTTTCATTGATTCTTTGTATTGTTCTCTTTATTTCTATTTCATTGATTTTAGCCCTAAGTTTGATTTTTTTCTTGCCATCTACTCCTGTTTTGTGTAATTACTTTTTTTTGTTCTAGAGCTTAATTTCCTAGTATGAGATCTATC